TATTATTATTATTATTATTATTATTATTATTATTATTATTATTATTAATAATAATCTTTAGTGAGTTTCACAGCCTTTGGGGCTGGTTGGTAGCTCAGCAGCTCGAGTCCTCACCAAGGACCTAGGAACTGTTCAGGTAGCATCGGAGGATATAAGCTGTTCCAAGTAGAGTGGTTTTTTTTGTAGAATCAGGGTATTCAAGTTTGATAAATTCAGGATTTCCAAATAGCGAGGCAGCCCTTTAGGTATTGCTCCAAGGGCTACAATTACAATTGGGATAACATACGATTTCTTTTTCCAAAGTTGCTCAACTTCAATTTGTAAGTCCCGATACTTTGTGATTTTTTTCTTGCTGCGTGCCTACAATTTGTACCAGGTATTGCAATGTCAACGAACCAAAGCTTTTTCTTTTCAACTATTGTTATGTCAGGTGTATTGTGGACCAAGTGCCTGTCAATCTGAATTCTGAAGTCCCACAAGATCTTGACTTTTTCATTCTCCAGAATCTTCTCAGCCTGATGTTCCCAGAAGTTGTTACTATACTCAAATCCAAACTTTGGGCACAGTTTCCAGTGAATGATTTTAGCAACCCAGTTATGGCGTTCTAGGTAGTCAGTTTGTGAAATTTTGCTGCACTCAATTATTAAATGGTCAACTGTTTCATCTTTCTCATTACACAGGCGGCATATTGTTGTTGTTGTTGTTGTTGTTGTTATTAGACACAAAAATGACAGTGTACATAGCAAACGAGATAACTATGCTGGGTTTCGTATCACAAATCACTAGTCGAACACTTCCCAAGTGTTTAGGACTGCATTATGATTATGATTGTTTATTTATTTATTTTATTTATTTAGAGCCAAGAAAGTTGGTCTTACAAAAACTCAACCTCGGAAAAAGGCATCAACTAGCTTTGATTGCTCTGGAAGCTGTCTATGGTGGGCTTCCAAAATGCTCAACACAATTCATATGAGCTCTTTTCAGGAGCTCCGTCACACCAGTTGCAAAGCGTTCGGGCGGGGAGGGCTGTCTCCCATGAAGTCAGAATCCAAAACAACCCAGGATCATCAACCTGTTGAGTTGACTTAAAGACGGCCTCCTTTCTGGAATCTTCTGGCTCCTCCCATCCAAAAGGAGAGCCGGCTTTTCCTGGAGAAAGTTCTCAAACAGTACTGAATTTGGTCAGTAGATGTCAGTGAAATCATTGCAGATCTGCTAACGCAGCTCTGAAGCTCTGAGGTTTGAGCAGGCCTGTTGTGGTTCACCGGCAGCAGGTGCGGACGGCTGAGGGCTCGGAGAGTGAAGACTCAGATGAGGGGCCAGCGGGTGATGCAGGGATGGGGCCAGGACCATCAGGGAGTGGAGTGCTGCCTTTGGAGATTGTGGAGGCTGGCAGCAGCAATGAAGAGGCCCACGAGGAGCCTGTGCCCAGTGAGCGTGTGCACAGGGTTGCTCGAAGGAAAGAGCACGGGTGACTCGGGAGTAAGGCTGCAAGGTAAAGGCCCCTCCCTGAGGAGATAAAAGCCAGTTGAGAAACCGCAGTTCTTTGCAAAAGGCAAAGAAGTTTTACACTTGAGCCTGGTGAACGTTAGGAGTATCTGTGTTGGTGTTTAGAGACTCTTTGCGTTTGAATTATTACTTAGTAACTTTATCTGGTGTTCTTGGCAGCCTTGCAAAACCTTGGCAAGGCTCGTTCTTATCAGCGCTGATTGGTTTGAAGCAGCTTTTAACGGGATTCATAAAGAAACATTAAAAGGTTGTGCTGTTACCTTTGTCTCGTGTTTGCTACCTTAGAACCAGGTTTGGGTCAGAACAAGGCCTGACCACGATAGGATGATGTCACTGATCAAGGGTTGAAAATTTGGAACCTACTTCTTTTCTATAGGTTGGGGGCAGCTCGTTCCCACGCTCACCCCTTTTTGTAAAGTAGAAAGCAATACCGCTAGAATTTCAGCCACTACATTTTGGTGCTGGTGATGTGGAAGTAACATATTCTCTTAATTTGTTATTTTATACTCCAGGGCAGTTTCCCAAGGCAGCTCCAGAACTGGTCCATCGTCCCCACGTTCTCCCACGGTCCAAAGCCAATCGTCTAACAGGTATCGACCATTAAAACATTTTGCCAGCCAATTAAAGACTTGGCGTTTAATTAAGGCAGTTGGGGACCTACGTTATACAGATATGTGTTTATTTTATTTGCAACATTTATACTCCACATTTGCTCCTCGAAGATGACGACAACTTGAGAAGGACAACCCTAAACCAACCATTGTACTACAGTTGCAAGCAAACACTTAAATGTAAAAGTATGAAAATGTTGGGAAAGAGTGACTGGAATAGAATAGAATTTTTTCTTGGCCAAATGTGATTGGACACACAAGGAATTTGTCTTGGTGCAAATGCTCTCAGTGTACATAAAAGAAAAGATAAATTCATCAAGAGTCAAGAATCATAAGGTACAACACTTAATAATAGTCATAGGGTTCAATAGAATAGAATACAGAATAGAATAGAATAGAAATAATAGAATAGAAATAATAGAATAGTATAGAATAGATATTGGAATAGAACTAGAATAGAATAGAATATTGGAATAAAGAATAGAATAGAATGGAATGGAATGGAATAAAATAGGAATAAAGAATAGAATAGAATAGAATAGAATAGAATAGAATAGAATAGA